AACATTTTAATTACGGGGATTATATCCACTCGCCTTGATAATGCACATCTAATAGGTTCATCATTGTACACACGACCAAACATCTGTAGGTGTTCTACTCTCAAACATTGATCTTTAAGAGACTTACCCAGTGTGACAATACATCCACAATGATCCAATAGTAAGTGTCGGCTAAAGACTATACTTATTTATCACTCCTGTGTTCATTTTTTTGTTGGAAACAAAGGAACCCAACCATACTTGTATGATTGGGGAAACACCCATCTAGTACTTCAACGACAGTACCTTAAGGATGTACTTGTATTAGGATCTGATTTTTAAAATTTTACAACAATACTGATTATGAGGCCAAAAAACCTCTGCTAATACAATCTAAAAAATATTGAAAATTGGCTCACGGTTGCATCATTAATATCAAATCATGCTGTGCCAAAAATAAACTTCATATATCTTTGATGCCATCACAATCTTACGTTACATTACACAAACCAAACTTGAGATTCGACGAGCTAAAACACGAATTTAGTTGAACTGACCTAGAAGAAACATGGGCCATGGCGTAGTAACCTATCTCGGTTTTCACTATTAACCTATCTAATGTCTGCGGCAGCTTCTTACACTTCGTCCCTTGTTCCAGTATGTTGTTCACCTTCTTCCTCAATACCCAGCATTATGATGAAGAGCTTCGGCATTTGTATTGTTTTGGAGAATACCTCCTCCATTTCCTTCTAACAAGTTGGATCTTTTTACTTTCATATGCCTCCCTTACAATCACCGGAAAGAGCTTCCATAACGAAAACCCCTTTCCTAAGTAGAAAAACTAAAGCCACATCCCATTGACTCCACAATCAAAAGGAGACTGATAAATCATGATTATTTAAGTGCTTAGCATGATGTTTGAGTGACCGCGCTGCCAATTTTTGTGTTAAGGGGTAGTATCCCAAGCCCTTCCTTGCGTTTCGCTGTATTATGTGCGAGTGCAGCTTTTTATGCCTTTTCTCCCTTGTTTCTTTTTTTTTTTTTTTTTTTTTTTTTTTATTTTTGTTTTTTTTTTTATATGTTATGTATTTTGGCTATTTTTTTTCTTTTTTTTTTTATGGGTGGGTGGGTCTATATTCTTTTTTTATTTTTTTTTTTTTTTTTTTTTTTTTTTTTTTATTTTTTTTTTTTTTTTTTCTTTTTTTTTTTTTTAAGTTTTCCATCTTTTACGTCTATCTTATACCCAAACATTTATATTGGAACACTTTTAACTCCACTCTCTCAAAATATGGGAGTGTTATTTCAGTGGGAAAGCATGATTTGCGAAAGTCCAAAATAGGTGGGTTTGCCTTCCTCTTGTGTCCTTGCTTTCATGCTTAGGTTGCTTTCACATGTTAGCTGCATTCATCTTTAGGCCTACAACTTAAGCTTAGATTCAAGCATGTTTATAAGGCTCTCGATTGACTGGACCACATTCTGTGTCTCATCGTCCCTCCACCTATTGCAAACTCTATTAATATAACATGGGATGACTTGATTTAGAGGCAACTTGAGCTTGATTTGTGTGCTTGTATAGTGAATTGTGCTCTGTATTAGGTCTACGCCTTGGTGCCTATGTTTTGGCCAATCTTATACTACTGATGCGATAGTAACTCCCTAGCTTAATTCAATGCATGATTTAGGACCTCATTATTTAGCTGTACTTGAGTGTTACTTCGTTCCAAGTTGTTATGTTCTAACCTTTATTTAGAGCTTTCGTATTATCGAGTGGTTCCTCGGTGTGAATGGTCTTCTCACTAGCTCATTGTTTGCTTTAACGCATGAAAGGCACTGAATGTTTGTCATGTCTGTAGTATTATTTTGCATGCAATCTCAGCATCATACTCTCTGTTCACATCTCATTGGCCTGCCCTTTTCAATCACTTTTGGTGAGTTTTTGATTTCAAGTTTGGAATCCCTTTAAGCTTGCAGATTAAGAGTCTTATGCTTAATGGTTTTAATCCTCACTTGTGCGTTTCTACTAACCAAAAGCCATACCTCTTATCTTGCCTTAAATTATTCCTTCGGTTGACACTTCTTTCTCTTTAGAAGAACTCTCACCTTGAACTAAATCAATTAAAGGGGACTAATCGAGTAATGTTAAAACTGAGTAATACAAAATGAACAAAAGTAAAGGAGGCAAGATTTAGCGTATTTGTGTTGCATTGCATGTATTACGGATCCAGACTTTAATCCGAACACAAGAAAATTGGGACGTTTCATAATCAAAGTGATGAAAACGTGCCACATTGTTTCATGTCAAGTGCCCATTACGCCTTGATCACTGCATGATTTAGGGCGCTTGGTCCTTCCGAAGATCTTATATTCTGTAGCATTTCATTAGACATGTTACAAAGCTTGGTTTCACTGCAATCATGCAATGTAGAAAATGAGCTTGAGTGTTGATCGGCTCGAGGACGAAGAGTACTTCCTCCTATCTTGAGCGAAGTATTGCGCAATGTATAACGGATAGGTAGCAGTGATACATTACACTTTGTAAAAATTGCATTGCCTTTGCCTCTGTTTGCCTCTCTGTTACAGCAAAAGCGAGAAGTCAGGGACTTGGTGGTCGATCCGGCCAGTTTAGTTGGGGCCGACCAGCCCAGTTTAAGTAAGCCAACAGCCACTTTTTGTAGGCCACCAGCCAATTTTCACAAATGTGCTCCTGAGTTAAAAGCAGAGGCATTCTGGGAGTTGGTACAATTTTCAGTGATCAAAAGAGAGGTGGCAAACAGAGGCATCCGATGGCAGGTAGTGGCATTTATGAGTGGATCAACGGAGCATTGCATGCGTCCCTCGCCCCATGAGGCCAGTTTAGTTCGCTTTTGTTAACTTAGAATAAGTTACTCCCCGGTATTTCAATTATATCAAGTAGTTGATAATCTTATTTAATTTAGCTTAGACAGTTATAGTTTAATGCTTTAATTAGCTAACATGCTATAGTCTTCAAGTTTGGTTTGTATAATTTAGTTAACTAGAATAGTTAATTAGTTTTGGTTGTTAATAGGTAGTCTTAATTAGCAGTAGCTAATTGCTTATTATCATTCTGAACCGCTCTTTGCGAGGGCACCAAATTGTGTGTTTTGTAAAAGTAAGTGAAACATGTGATGTGATGGTGTGTGCGTGATGATGATTTCTGTGTGTGTTGTGTGTGTGTGTGTGTGTGTGCATGTTTTCTAACCCCACGTCATTCTCCCTTTTATTTAACCGCTTTCAATGGTTAGATTAGGGACATTTTCAATTAGCATACCTTATGCTTGCATGCTTGCATTCATTCATTTGTCTTGCATGCACTAAGGCTCGGTGCATCATTCAAATTGCATTGTCATTTCAATACTTTCTTGAATGCTTGTTTCAAAGCATGCTATCCAAGTGTTGCAAATACCATGATTAGGTAGCCAAGCCTATTTTATTGCATTATTGCATGTGTTGCATTAGGCATTTTGTGTAGTTAGGATCATGCATTATTTCTAACTAGTTTTTTATTTTGGCTCGGAGTACTCGGTAAGCTTTTACGCTTTAGCATACTTGCATGGGTGTGATTGTCATATTGCCATTATTTAGCATGCTTGCCATGAAGCTATTTGCTTATATGCTAAACTCCTTGAATGCCAGCGGATGAAGGCCTTGTTGCTTGAATTGGAATAATTCAACGAATGCACGTTTTAAGCCCACTTTGCGAAGTGGCAAATCATGTATCAAGCCCATCATGTTTGATGGCAAATCCACGTTTTAGCCCACTTGAGGGTGGCAAATTCAAACCATTTTCGAAAGCAAACATGAGTTGAATTTGTTCCAAATCTCGCGACTTAGTCTATACTTGCTTATGTGTGTCACATAGTAAAGTTAGCTAATAACCAGAATAAAAACACATGAGTTTTATAAAACAATATATCATGATTAGTAGAGGCTGATCTTTGATCGGGCGAGTGGGGGTGCTCATTTCAGGACCTTCCCCTCTCGTACGCAAGTTCCCGAGCTGAGGCCACTTTGGTAATGATGGACATGTGGCCTTTGGCACGAGTCAGGGTTTCCTAAATTTTCCAAAAAAAAAAATATTTAGATGGCGACTCTATAATCTGGCAAAGCAGTCCAATTTTGGCATTATTTGATTTAAAATCAATTTTCCAAAATGATTTGTTGGATTGGACTCTTTTGGTGTTTATCAGTTTCACATTGCACTTGTGAGAATAGATTCAGAACCGTAGGTAGAGTCTAAACTGTGAGGGTCTTTCTTTTCAAACCCTTTCAAAAAGGCGGGGGCGTGGAAAAAGGCGAGCCCACAGTGGCCTTTGGCACAAGTCATGGGTTTTCTAAATTTCTCAAAAATAAAAAAATATTTAGGTGGCGACTCTGTATCTGGCAAAGCAGTCTAATTTTGGCATTTTTGATTCAAAATTAATTTTCCAAAAGATTTGTCGGATTTGGACTATTTAGTGTTTATCAATTTCATATTGCACTTGTGAGATTAGATTTAGAACCATGGGAGTCCGAACTATAGGACTTATATTCGAACTTTCGAAAGGGAATGCGGAAAAGTCGAGCTATACCAGGAAACCATCTAGTCGACTTGAAAGAAGTTTTTGATATCCTAAGAACATATCGACTACAACTCAATGCTTCAAAGTGTGCATTTGGAGTCGGATCTGATAAGTTCCTTCGATATCTGGTAAGCAGAAAGGGAATAGAAGCAAACTCAGACCAGATCAAGGCGATCCTTGACCTGAAAAGCCTGACAATAGCCAAACAAATTCAAATTCTAACCGGTAATGTCACGACCCAAACCCGCCCCTATAGGTTTAGCATCATAACCAGCCAGTAATCCTCAAATTACTAGAGGCCCCTGACCTGAATAACAAAATATAAGGGGCTAGCAGAAGCAAATATAAAATATACATAGTCCATTGAGCTGTGTAGATAGACATGAGACAAAAAAGTTTTAAACTTTTTTATTTTTATTTTTTTATATACGTATCTACACATCATTCTTATGTTATCATATATATACGAATTAGAGAAAAGGGATTTAGCCCTATTTACAACATAAACAAAGATTTGTTTATCTGAACCAGAAAACAAAACTTGAACTTCATGCACATAGCCATAACCACTAGACATATCCAGAACCTTCTCGGGAGCCACATAGGTTGGCTGAGAAAACAGAGTCTAGGTAGAAGCTCTAGGCCTGGTCACGTGCCTGATCACCTACATACATAAATAAGACAGTGAGTTGAAGCCTAGTAAATAATAACAAAGTAAAGGTTTTAATGAATGATGACCGTAACAGATTTAGATTTCAAATCTCTTATCAAAACAGAAACATAGACATGTTTGTATCAGAAACAGATTCATAGTCATATTCATATTCAAATCATGTGTGGTACATCCATTAGCATTAGCATATCTCATTGGTCAAGCATATCAAGTTCCCTAATGGAACCTCCGGTACCAGGTAACATATCTCATTCATGGGCCATGGTATTATTCCCCAGGGTGAGGGCTTGGGCCATGGTATTATTTCCCCGGGCAAGGGCCTATGCCACGGTATTATTCCCCTAGGCGAGAGCCTCATGACCATAAACCACAGTATTATGTCCCCTGGGCGAGGGCCTTTGCTAAGGATACCACAAATACATCTTAAAGAATTGAATCATCATTCTTTCATACAAATCATAGCGTTTCAGAAAACTGATCAATTCATATCATCAAAAAATAATTAAAGTCAAACATATCTTTACAGAGTTATTACTCACAGATAGCTGTAGAAGCAGATCCGACAGATTAGGCAGGCAATGGCACGTGACCTACACAAACATATAACATCTTGATCAAACTTGACATTTCTTGTCTTCTGTCTTAACAATCCGATGGTCTACTACACTTGTTCTTTCTTTATTCAACAGAATCAAGTTCTAATCTCACATATTATTTCATTACTAAATCATTCTTTTCTGGATAAACCAATTTCGTACTTGGCTTCTTCATCAATTACTACTAAGTTAATGATTTATTCTTTAGTCAACTAATTTATGTTGATTCGTAGTTTATTAATCTTGTTGTATCATAATTCTTGCCTGAGAATGCTTGGAAGTGAAAGAGAATGGAAATCGAAATATAAAACAACTTTTCAAAATTTTCTAAAATAGGACTCTTTGCTCGAGCACAACATTGGTCACTCAAGCGGACTCCTTGGTCTGCAAAAATACTAGTTGCTTGCATTCTATGCTCGAGCAACAACTTCTTCGCTCGAGCGATGATGACGAATTTTGGGTTTTCCAAAATGTTGTTTAAACTTCAAAACACAGTATCAAGGCTCCAAATTCATGCATGACTCACTCGAATATGCAAAAAACATTCCCAATTACATATATTTAAAGTTAATTCCACTTATACGTCAAAATTCCATGATTTTAATTCAAATTTAAACCTTGGATTTTATGTTTAAAAATCACCTTTCAATTCTTTCTTTATTTTTATGAAACTTAAAATTGAATCTATAAGGCCCCTTCAAAAATATTTGCATGCATGAAATTGAATCAAAATCAAAGTAATTTTTTATTCTCAAATATAAATTACAATTTATTTCCATATTTGTCTGAATTAAAATTTAATTCATTTTCTTCATATCAAGCCCAATTTCAAACCCACAAGTTATAAAACATAAGTTGATCATCCAAAACTCCTAAAAATTCATGATGCATGTACAATTGAAACTCAATTTCATGTTAAGACAACTAAATTCAAACCCAAAGTGATTACTTTCTAAATTAATTTTCATAAATTTGAACATAGCTCCAATTCCTCATTTTCTTGTCAATTTTCCTAGCAAACATTGCATGTATTATGACGCCCCAAATTTCTAGCCCAAATGATAATACAACAATCATGACTCTTTTAAGGAAAATCGAATATAAATCTCCAAACTTACATTACATGATACAATAGTTCTTCATGCAACAATGCATTCATCCAATAACAAGTAAATAAACAAATAAATACCTCCAAGGGTTTACAAGTTTCCAAGGCTTGAGACTGGTTATACAAAACAGTCATTCAAACCCAAAATGAGAGCATTGTACTCCCAACACACATACTTCCACGCCCCTAGTTGGGTGGGATCACCACATCTTTTCCTACACAAAAATCTCGTAGGGTGAGCATAAAGCCTAGTAGGAAATTCTTAACAAAGTATATACATTTTATACAAGTCTCAAGAGATGAAATGCACATGCCATGCTATGCCCTTTTTAAAGATAAATCACATTTTCATATTTTGAAAACCATCATGGTCAATGATATCATGCAATTTCAATTGTTTAAAACTTAACAATTTGTTCAAGGATAGTAAATACGACTCTAGTAATCCCTAGGTCGGTGTCTGCAAGTAGACTATACAAGTACTACAAAATTGTCATTTTTACCGGTATTAACCAAAAGGCTTGACACCTATCCGCGCGGGTTTTTAGTCTTTTATCCCAGACTCTCAGGCCAACTTATTCAATATCATTTACACCATCTATCAAGACTTACCAACGTATTTACCTCAAAACCATTCCATGAAAACTTGTTTCTTAACATTCTTTTCTCAATGCAAGTTTTGAAATTAACTTTTAAAGTTTAATGTAATCAAATGAATTGATATGCCAATTTCATAAGATGAATATACATACTTCTATTCCAATTCATCATCCAAGAAATAACACAATTCCCTCTTCTCAAGTATCCTCAACAATTAGTTATTTCAAAACTATTTCAACGTTTTGAATAATAATTTCCAAAATGAACAATAATTCTCATATTTCTTGAAATTCGTCGTTTATATAAATATAAATAAGAAATTTTCCAAACATCCATTTATTTTGACACACAAAATAAATATAACAATATCATTCATTATGATTTTCAGTCTCCTTAAAAAAAAAATTCCCAAATTCTAGGTTTTCTCACCAAAACTATATAACTCAAATCTTTTGAAAGAAAACTTTTCAAAATCTTTTTTTCTTCAATCAACGAAGATCAAAACCCATAAGATCATTTTAAAAAAATAAGAGACAAACCCACTTTCAAAATCGCTTAACTTCTTGAATCAACAATCCCTACCTCAAGTTTTGAAGAAGAAATGAGACGAAGCTCCCAAAATCAACGATGTCGAAACTCGATCTGCACCGCACACAACGAAACCCTCGAGAAGTTAACCAACTTTGATAAAGAACCTATGGCAGAACTCTAATGGATCTTGAGAAATCCAGGTTTTAGTCCAATTTGGTGTAGGAAAATGTAGAAAGAAGGGAGAGGAAAGGGTTTTTAGAGAGAGAGAGAGGTATACAAAAGTGATCTGAAATATCAGATTCACGAACTGATAAAACATGGTCCACTCGAGCGTCAAATACACTTTCCTAGTACTTTTGCAGACAAGTCAAACTTCTAGAACCAAACATTCTCTGCTCAAGCGCATGAACGGCCACTCAAGCGAACAAGCAACTTCTAATGCATTTTGCATTTTTGCTTCGGGGGCACTGCCCCTCAACCCCGCCGATGCGCTGCCCTAGGACCCGCTAAGGGGCACTGACCCCTGGACCCTCGCGAGCTGACCAGACATCTCGATCCCCGACATACTCAACGAAGTGACAAAACTGGAATCGCTACATGTATGTAATTCAAATAAAACTAACTAATTTAATATATTCCAAAATTTGTTTAAATTAAATAAAACTCTCAAATTACATTACACGCATGGATTAGAGATTAAAATCAAACCAATTTTTAGGTTACAAAACAAAATCAAAACCTCATTTAACTCCATGATTAAACCCATTTTCATGAACTCAATATTTTCAAACCTTTTTCTTCAAAATCAAATGCATAATAAACTTGCATGGCTCAATTCTTAAAAACTTCATTGTGTATGTAAATTTACATTTCATATATATCAAGGTTTCCAAACTCAAACTCAATTGAACAATAAATTATTTCCATATTGATTAACCTTAACCATGTTCATGAATTAATTCCTTAATTTCTCCAAATTACATGCGTGTAAAAATAAGACAAAAAGAGAGAGATCTGTAAAGGCTAAGTCATATCCGAAAGGAGCACGAAAGCAAGCTATAGATGCACACATCTCAGAAGGGGCCTAGTGAAGGACCTTTTGTAGAGATGGCCTTCTGTTGATAGTTAAAACCTAGCCGACTTCAATATGATTTTGTGTGCTTCTTTTTCATCTACTGACAGCCTACCACTAAGTAAGCCACAATTATAGTGTCCATTCCAGCTTGGACCCATCTCTACGCACATGGCTTCGTATTCCGTTATGACGGCCTCTATACTTGGCGCTAACAATAATCAACCATTATTGTTCTTACCTTACCTAAATTCATCGCGCTGGTCAGGTTAGCCAAGGCGTCAACATGACCGTTATTATCTTGGCTAACCTCCTATAGCTGATAATTTTTAGAACAGTGTTAGCAGCTTGACAACCTCCTTGACATAGGCTATCATCCTCTCATCTCAGGCTACATACTCGCCTATTCTTTGATTTACAAAGAGTCAGGAGTCGCAGAAGACTATCACCTGTTGGCGTCCATTGTTGCTGCTAGCCTTAGTCCAGGAATTAGTGCCTCGTAATCCGCTTCATATTTGAGGCCTTGAACCCCAAACAAATATATTGCTTTATCATACCAAAACTACTCCTGTCCCCGCTCTCTGCTGGTTTGAGCTGCCGTCGATATAAATATCACGGGTTTTGATTTCTCTTTCTTCTTCTGCTCTGCTGGTGTGGGGTTTTTGGGCCCAGTTGGGTTTTTTCTTGTTCTCCAGGACATCCCAAGCCGCAAACTCACGCGAGCTTGCCTTGGGATCACGCTAGGGGTGAACTTGGCCACAAAGTCAGCCGGAACCTTGCCTTTAATTGCTGTTCTTGGCCTGAATTCCAAGTCGTATTGGCCCAGCACCATTATCATCTATCTACTCTTCCTGTTAGGTCTCTATGCCGTAACAGGGACTTTAGGGAATGCTCCATCAGTACCACAATCTTGTGGGCTTGAAAATAGTGGTTCAATTTTGAAGCCATTACAAAGGCTAGTGTCAATTTCTCTAGGGGCAAGTATCTGCTTTCGACACTTGCCAGGGTTTTCTCACGTAATAGACTACCTCTGCTTCCCGTTCTCTTCTCGAATTACCACCGTACTCACGGCAGGTCTGAGACTGCCAAGTACAAGTAATAACTCCTCTCCTGCTACTGAATTTGACAATACTGGAGCTGTTTTTTTAAGTACTTTTTCAAATCAGCCAGGGCGGCTTCGTACTCGTCTGTCCACACAAAAAATCTATGACCTTTTTCAAATAATAAAAAAATGGTTTGCATTTATCAGAAACTTCAGCAGATAAACCTGTTCAAGGCTGCGACCCTGCCTGTAACGCCCCCATCATGTAAAATGATTAGCACTTAATTAATTAAAGAGATTTGAATTTAATTGCCACTTATTCTAATTCAATTAGAGATTTATGAAAATTATGGAGACTGATTCGTATTGATTCTATTGATGATTTATTTTGGAATTAGAAATTGAAAGCCTAAATGGCTCAAGATAGTACAAATGGTGAATTGAATTATTTTAATTCGAGTATCAGACCATATGGGAATTTAATTAAATATTCGATTCATATTTATAAAACTGAGATTTGATTAATTGGGTCCGAATTGAAGTTAATTAAGTTATACGAATTAGGAATTAAGATTATTATGAATTAAATTTATTCAGGAGGTGTTCAGTTGAATATGTAATTTATTGGCGAAGATTTTGAAGTTTAATCTAAAATTGAAGACCTTATTGATTTAGAAACCAAAATGAGTATGGAAATAAGTTTAATTTAATATTTGGAGCGTTTTGGAAGTTTGATTAAAAATTTGATTCAAATTGATAGATTTGAATATAATTAATTGGGCTCTAATGGAAGTCAATTAGACAAATTAAATTATGTGGGATTTATGATTAGTTATAATTTAACTATGTGTTAATCAAGATTTATTAAGAATAAGTGTTATTTAATTAAATTAATCTTAACCGTAAATTAAATGTAGAATGAATTAGAGTTGGAGGATATATGTGGGTGTGGGTGTGTGTGCATAGAAATTTTGTGTGTGTGTGTGTGTGTGAGTGTTGTAATGGAGGCTCTAATAGGTGTGCATGTGTGCATTGTGAAGAGAGGAGTGTGTATACATGAGGAGAGATAGAGTAGGAAACTCTATTTTATTACTTGCTGGCAGCATTATTGTGTAGAAGGAGATTGAGAACAAAAAAGGAGTGTAGCTTCATATTTGTTTTGGGCAAACCTGTGTGTGTTAGAGAGAGAGAGAGAGAGAGAGAGAGAGAGAGAGAGAGAGGGAGAGGGAGTGAGTTCAAGTCTTAGAACTCAAGTGCTGGAAATGGTGAAGAAAGGCTAAGGAAAAGCTTGGAAAAAAAGTGAAGAATTGAAGAGAGAGACTCAAGAAATTGTGTAGAAAACTCATCAAATTGAAAGTTTGGGTAAGAAATTAAAGCTCAAATCTTGTGGATAAATCATCTAGAAGCTGAAACTAGAGGTAATTAGATTCAATTGCATGCATTGATATAAATTGGCAAGAAAACGAGTTAGATCATGATTATGGAAATTAATTTAGAAATTAATTATTTTGGGTTTGATTTTGCATATTTTATATGAATTGA